CGATGGTAAAAATACCGCGAGGGTGTTTATAGGGTGACCAGTGGTGAACCGAGACCCCCTCTGGTCCTAAATGCTGTCAATTGCGAACCGAGAATTTTATTTACGCCAGGTTTTCAACTTTGACACGTCGAAATAGGGTGCCTTGGAACACCCCCATTTGCAGAAGTATGCGTTAAAAATATTCCGTGACTTTTCCATGTAAATACTTCGTCGTTAATCCTGTAATAGCTATAGACATGACATGGCCAATAGCTGGATTAAATTTTAAATTGGGTAAAATAATTTTAGCAAAAATATTAGGAGCCTTTAGAAGACTCTGTATGATGCTCTCCATAATTGACATTGCGAATATCTGCGACAGAAAATGATTACAGTGGTTTATATGAGTCACCTAAAGTAGAACGATGATGACAGTAACTAGGGTTGCGTCCTGAATAAATATTTGAAGCAGCCGGAGTCACGAGTCCATTGGATATATTATGACGAGAAAAATACGGTAATAGAACGATAAAAGAAACACGAAGCTCTTTAAGGACTTGGTTTAATAAAGAACGATCCCGGCCCGATATTCCAGGGTTAATAATATAGGACATGTCTATATCATGGCTACCACGCTATCGCGTGTAGCTCGCGTATATCGTGGGGCATCTTCGCATCGGCAACTTGGTAATTCAATTCAGCCTAGCCGAAAGCTAGCATTTATCAGGTTGCTGGCATGTGAAATCCTCTTGGAATCCTAGCATGTCCTAAGAATTTGAAGTTCGTCCTCCTCCGAGGACGTCTTGGAAGATGTCCAGCATATTTCCACTTGTGGAAACTTCGCCTCTCAAGACCTCCTCCTTCTGGCTCGGTTCGTTACTCCTGTTTCTCCATTTTCGCTTCGCCTTTTATCCCCCTCGTTGGTTACCCTTCATCGTTTCACGATTGCCGGAACCTCTCTGTTTTACGTACCCCTGCGTCATTTTTTAGAGCCGGGATTGTTCCTTCCACGGAAGATTGGATTTTCTCGTTGGCCGGAGTTCCTTTTAGGATCTCCCATGTGGTGAGAACACTTGGCCAAGCGCACGAGTTTCTCCGAGTTCCAATTTCATCACGGAGTGTATCCCGGGAAGGTATTACCTGAGGGAAGCACCGCTGGGGTGATAGATTATTTCCTACAACTGGTCCAGGCTGGCAGGGGCTGTACGAGAAGAAGTTGTAAATGGAAAGGAACCCGGAAATGATCGCAGTAGCCGGGCTAGTCGACTGGAAAGATATGGGAGGAGCTGGTGAACGACCACAGACTGGACGTCTCTATGGATGCCCAGGGAATCGGATGGGATGCGCTAAAAACCTCGACGATAGTTTAATGACAGTCACCAGAGGTAATTTTCTAGAAACTGACAAGTCATGGTCACTAATTTATAACAGTGGATGCAGAATATTTATGACAGACATTGGATCAAAGATTCAGAAACCCAAGTTGGTGTCAACGACCACAGACTGACTGGACGTCTCTAAGAAAGCCGAGAGAACCGGGAGGGATGCACTGAAAACCTCGACGATAGTCTAATGACAGTCACCAGGGATAATTTTCCAGAAACTGACAAATCATGGCGACTAATTGATCCCAGTGGATGTAAAGTATCCATGACAGACATTGAATCGAAGATTCGGAAACCCAAGTTGGTGTCAACGACCACAAACTGGACGTCTCTCTACGGAAGCCGAGGGAACTGGAAGGGATGCACTAAAAACCTTGAAGATAGTCTAATGACAGTCACCAGAGGTAATTTTCCAGAAACTGACAAGTCGTGGTCACTAATTTATAACAATGGATGCAGAATATCTATGACAGACATTGCATTGAAGATTCGGAAACCCAAGTTGGTGTCAACGACCACAAACTGGACGTCTCTCTACGGAAACCGAGGGAACTGGAAGGGATGCACTAAAAACCTCGACGATAGTCTAATGACAGTCACCAGAGGTATTTCTGGAAAAACTAACAAGTCATGGTGATTAATTGGCCAAACTTAATGCAAAGTGTCCATGTCAGACATTGGATCGAAGATTCGGAAGTCCAGTTTAGGTCACAGTGGTCATACTGGAGCACTGACAAATTGTTGCAAATGACCACGAGCTGAACGTCTCTAGGGAAGCCGAGAGAACCGAAAAGGATGCACTAAAAATCACGAAGATAGTCTAATGACAGTCACCAGGAATATTTCTACAAAAACTGACAAGTCATGGCGACTAAGTGTCTATGTCCATGTCAGAAATTGGATCGAAGATTCGAAACCCAAGTGGAGGTTACAGGAATCATAGTGTAGCCTAGGTTTGACACTTATTAGTAGGTGAATCCGTTTCGCTAGACGATGCTCTACTCTAATCATGTAGCTTGCTACACCTCGAAATCTACCATCCGAATTTCCAGTCGCGTCACCATCGAATCGAACAGGAAATATAGATCCCCGTGGATGTCGAGGCATGGCTGACAAAGGGAAGCAAACGACAGACACGTAACGTCAGGATCAGGGTACGAAATTTGGCAGTGTGCCAGGGTTGGGAAACGTAACCAGGGATTCTCTCGCCCCTTCTCGATCGACGAATTGACGTTAGTTAGGTTATTATTAACCTAACCTGTTATTAACCTCAATTATAATAGACTATTATTATTTGTTATGTCCATTTGCTCGATAGCGCAAAGGAATATGCACAGTCGTTTCCTTCTCGTCCTTTGGCGAATATCTCTTCGTGCCTATCCGCGGATAGGTAACAGAAACGTTTCTCCTAAATCATGCTCATGACAGGGATCTATAACTTCAACCTGCGTTTCTCGGAACACAGCCTGCTGCCCACGTGTGCCTCTGATTTGCGAAAACAATGCTGGCCGCCACCAACTGACGAAACACAGGCATTACCACCCACATCTGTTGCGCCACAGCGAGGATGATGTCACTGTTTGATATCCCCGTTTAATAATGCACTCCTCGTGTAAAATGGGTCACGATAAACGAAACCTCGATAAGAATAAAAGAGGAAGAATAAAACGAGCAAGAGATTGACGCTCGAGCAAGCTTTCAGCGCTGTTTTCCAAACCTTTTCTCGCGAGGATTCCTAACCTGGTCATCGACGTCATCAAATTCTACTTCGTTCCGGGATATTTCCGAATGTTCCTCGATTCATTCGCGAAAAAGCATGTTCCATTTAACCCTTTGCGCTCGACGATTTTTTGGCCAAAGAAGGGTACGAGTTGAAGAATTTTCTGCTATAAGACTGATGATATTTTCTAAGCAGTAAATAAAAAATCGTATAATAACACGTAGAATTATCTAATTTCGATACCTCGCACACTGTTGCATTATTTTAACCCTTTGCAATCAGCGATTTTTCCGTTACAGGAAAATAGTAAATTGGAGACTTTCTAGACTTTCTGCCATAAGGTTGACGATATTTTTAAAACCGTAAATAAGAAATCGTATACAATTTAAGACGTTGGGTAATTTTAAATCTGATATATTAATTAACGTCGATCTTTAGAATCCGATTAAATGGTGACTAAGAGCCACCTCTCGAGTGCAAAGGCTTAACACGTTGAATGCTATAGGGGTCATCGGTGACCGGCACTCAACTTGGCAGTGGAGCCACGGGGGCCAATAAACAAACGTCAATATTTAGAAATTTGTATTATTACCATCGTTAATTCAATGGTGACCTCGTCGCAATTAACATGTCAAACGTAGTTGTACATTGTAGCTTATCTATTGCAGATAATATTTCAACATTATACGTATCCCATAGTAGAAACTTCATCGTGGTGCCACGGGCAATCCCTGTAGAACTGGCGTGGCATTCAACGTGTTGAAAAATATAGAAGATATTGGTGTCCATTTCTATCCCACAAGACTAACCCACGTAACCCAGGCGAAAATGAAACTCTCCTTGGGACCAAAATCATCGCGGAGGAATAATTCGAGCCAAGGCCCAAGGAGATACACATCGTGGAAATAAATCCGAGAGCGCGGATTCGGCACGCGATCGTTGGCCACGATCCAATGGCGGAGAGATCGAAGAAAGGAAGCCGGTAATCGAGAGAGAAGAAAGGTCAGGAGTTTCTCACCTCGTAGTAGTCTTCTGGTCCGCTGAACGCCTCCCTGTGGACCCTGAGTTTGAGCACGTGGCCAACGGGCACGACGACGTGGGGAACATTGTGCAGCCTATCGAATTGGTGCTTCTTCGTGTCATAGGGATGCTTCTGCTCGTGCCAGCTGCTCCTCTGTTCGTCGTAGCGACGACTGATCACCGTCGCTGCGGTGCTGGTGCTCTCTTCGCCGACGTCATCGAACACCAGGTCGTCCTCCTGCAGGGTCAGGCCCAGCACCGCGGGCAGCAGCAGGAAGCACGCGAGGACGTAAGGATTCTTCATCTTGCGGGGGAGTTCTCCTCGGTCGTTGCTATCATATCATGCTGAAGTGCCTGTAATTAGACCATGAAATCATGTCGCAACTGATATTCATCACTAGGCTTTCTCTTTGTCGTTGCAATTTTTCGTAGGAATTTCAGAATTTTTTGGCGAGCAATATTCAATAAAAATATGGGAAATATTTGCAAATATTACGTGGGATGAAAAGTATTCTCGTCAGAGGTTTGTTTCGAAGAATTATGGAGTATGGAATATTTAAATATGGACTTCAGGAAATTTTTGGAAAGTTTTGGAAATGTTAGAAGTGGAGTAGTTTGTTTCGAGGAATTCTGAGATATAGAATATCCAATCGTGGATTCCAGGAAATTTTTGGAAATATTAAAAATGGAATACAGTATTTCTGTTGGGGATTCCAGAATTTTCCGAAAGGCGTTCCCATCACAAGTTCGTTCCGAAGAATTTTGACGTATGGAATATTCAAATATGGACTCCAGGAAATTTTTGGAAAGTTTTGGAAATGTTAGAAGTGGAGTAGTTTGTTTCGAGGAATTCTGAGATATAGAATATCCAATCGTGGACTCCAGGAAATTTTTGGAAATATTAAAAATGGAATACAGTATTTCTGTTGGGGATTCCAGAATTTTCCGAAAGGCGTTCCCATCACAAGTTCGTTCCGAAGAATTTTGACGTATGGAATATTCAAATATGGACTCCAGGAAATTTTTGGAAAGTTTTGGAAATACTAGAAGTGGAGTAGAGTATTTCTATCAGGGATTCCAAAATCTTCCGAAAGGCGTTCCTGTCGCAAGTTTGTTTCGAGGAATTTTGAGATATGGAATATCCAAAATAAATTTTTGGAAATATTTGAAGTAGAGTAGAGCATTTTATCGGAGATTCCAGAATCTTCCGAAAGGTTAGGTTAGGTTAGAATTTCGAAGATTTCTGTGGTATGGAATATCCAAGCGTGAACTCCAGGAAGTTTTTGAAAATATTAGAAATAGAATAGACTATTTCTGTCAGGAATTACAGAATCACCCGAAAGGTATTCCCATGATAGCTTTACTTCGAAGAAGTTTGAGGTATGCAATATCCAAATGCAGACTCCACAAAATTTTTAGAAATATTAAAAATGGAATAGACTATTTCTGTCGGAGATTCGAGAATCTTTCCAAAGATATTCTCATTACAGGTTTATTTCGAAGAATTTTCAGGTATGGAATATCTAAAAGTAGACTCCAGAAAATTTTTAGAAACATTAAAAATGGAATAGACTATTTCCGTCGGAGATTCGAGAATCTTTCCAAAAATATTCTCATTAGAGGTTTATTTCGAAGAATTTTCAGGTATGGAATATCCAAAAGTAGACTCCAGAAAATTTTTAGAAACATTAAAAATGGAATAGACTATTTCTGTCGGAGATTCGGAAATCTTCCAGTACCGAATGCGAACGGAGTAACCGAGCTAATGTTATCCGACGAGAACGTGGAAATTTTAATTTTAGAAGCTTCTGCAAGTACTACAAACAGAGTGCTCTATCGCGTTATTTGTTCGCGGTGGTTTTTAACCGAGTAAAATTAAACATCGCTCTCCTATGTGTACTTTAATCGTGTGAATCAGCGATGGCCTAAGACGATGAATAGAAATAAACCCGAGTGACTTCTTCAATCACTTCCTTTGTCAAACAAATCCAGCCGATCTCTGACAAATCCCTAGTCAACGCTCATCGTTTTTATCTCATCGATTCGCTTCTGCGAGGGAACACCTAGAAGGCTAGGCTGGAAACTGATAAAGCAACCAGAGAGACCCAGCAGGAATACCACGTTCAATGAACGGTGAAACTATGGAAGTGTAAAAATAGGAATGATAACAGAGGTCTGCTATGATGCACAGGCTCACGTACGATCGCTGTGACAGCGCGTTCCATGTTTGATTGCTCATTAAATACCGTCACGCGTCGTTAGATCACGGGTGAGACAAATTCGTGTACATCACGCAACGAGCCTTATCGGAAACAATCAGTCGTAAATTCGCGGATCACCTCGCAGAAGCGCCTGGCTATAGGCTACCGTTAGTATGCCGACAGGGTGATCACCAAAATGGCGTCCTCGTGTAGACTTCCACCGGAGAGTGCGATTTTCGTCATAAACAACGTCACGCGCTTTCTATGTTAAGTGGCCTTGTATACTTTGCAATGTTCTCAGAAGTGACGTGTATTTCGAGATAATTAGTGCAACGAAGCGTACCCAAATATAATTACGCTGTGTTCTATCGCTAGCTTCGTTAATTAATTAATTAATCGTAACTGCACGCGTACACGGCGAATTTTCATGCCAATCGCTGTCAAGATTCTTTCGAGTACTAAACTTTGGGTAAGAGAATTTTATTTTATATCGAGATCTTGGTTATTCTTTTTTATTTATTATATGTTATTTCGCATAATTGATAATGGAATTATAGTGGAATTAGAGTTATTTTATTCTATGATATCTTGTGAAGGAATTATATGAGATCTTATTTGTTTCTGACGTGGATTACGTTAAGTATGAATCGTATGTAGAATAATTAATTATTTAAGAGTAAATTAGAATTTTTAGTGTTAATACATAATTTTAATATTATTTTAGTATTAGTACACAAGTGATACACGCAGACATATTTATTTCTTGCGCTGAAAATATGTTTTGTGAGAAATTTAATTCTGTCAAATCAAAACAGCAATTTTTAGCCAAAACAACAAGTGGATTGGAGATCATGTTGGACAAAAATGGCTTGGCAGGGAACGTGTTAATTAGGTATTAAATTATATTGGGTACTAAATTAGATTTAAACGGTATTGGTAGAAAATAGATAGCATTTTAAGCAGTATAGGCAGAAAACAAATAGCGATTTTAAACGGTATTGGCAGAAAATGGATAACGATTTGGAGACCAAGGAATAGACACCTAAGTAATCAATTATTCATGGTTAAAAATTAGAAATTTCAGTATTAGCCACCACTTTGGTGTTAAATTAGATTGCAAGCTTAAACGATATTGGCAGAAAATAAATGGCGAATTGAGGACCAAGGAATAGACACCTAGTTAATTAATTATTCAAGGCTACGAATTAGAATTTTCAGTATTAGCCACTACTTTGCTACTATTACTATTACATTAGATTGCAGGTTTAAATGGCGTTGGCAGAAAATAAATGGCGATTTTAAACGGTATTGACAGAAAATAGACAGCGATTTGGAGACCAAGGAATAGACACCTAACTAATCAATTATTCAAGGCTGAAAATTAGAAATTTCAGTATTAGCCACCACTTTGGTATTAAATTAGATTGCAAGTTTAAACGATATTGGCAGAAAATAAATGGCGAATTGAGGACCAAGGAATAGACACCTAGTTAATTAATTATTCAAGGCTACAAATTAGAATTTTCAGTATTAGCCACTACTTTGCTACTATTACTATTACATTAGATTGCAGGTTTAAACGGCGTTGGCAGAAAATAAATGGCGATTTTAAACGGTATTGGCAGAAAATAGATAGCAATTTTAAACGATATTGGCAGAAAATAGACAGCGACTTGGAGACCAAGGAATTGACACCTAACTAATCAATTATTCATGGCTAAAAATTAGAAATTTCAGTATTAGCCACCACTTTGGTATTAAATTAGATTGCAAGTTTAAACGATATTGGCAGAAAATAAATGGCGAACTGAGGACCAAGGAATACAGACACCCGCTGGGCCGGCAGCCATTTCACGCGTCAGTCGTCGCAGGGATCGATGGAAATTAACAGAGAGAGCGATTCACCGATTTCGCAGGGCCGTGTTCTCAGCTCGTAAGTCGTCGGGTTTCTCTCTTTCCCATTGGTCCAGTTTCGTCGTCAGCTCCATGGGTATTTACGAAAGGAACAATGGAACGTTTTCGCGAGCGGGAGCGAATGCATCCAGTAGCCGGCCAATGATAGAGCCAATAAAGGCTTTCATTGCATTTTTATTTCCTCTTATTGCTCGCCTCGTCGAGGACCGTGCCATTAATTGGCGCAGCCGGACAATGAGGACCTCACAGTTAAGTCGACGCTGCTCGACGCTTTCATGGGGAAATACAACAGCCAGGATCGCCGCGATCCCTTTCATCCCACAAATTCCGCGACGCGGAAAGCTGCGTTTAGCTGCGATTTATCGATCGGTTGCTTCGATCCTCGCGAAAACGGCTTTTTCCATATCCCCCTCTCTCGAATGCAATTGGTATAGCGAATTCCTGCAACTTCGTCGGTGTGCCGTGAAATTTGATTGGAGAGAGTGGACGACGAAGAGAGCAGAGCTGTATGATCGTGTGTGGGTCGTGAGTCACTGATCTTGGTAAATCTTATATTTTTAGGCTCTACTGCGTCACCAACGGAAGATCCAGCCGTGGATCGCGGGTTATTTTTTGACAGGTTTTTGGTCAGAGAATATTCAAACATGGCAACGAAATTTATCAACCCTGAGGAATGAGAAATACTAGTTTATTTTGGATATAAGAAGCTGACTGGTCATCGATTAGTTTTGGCGCGAAATTTGAAAAAGTGTTAATAGATGAATTGGTGCTTTTGGCTCTGGTTCAAATATCAAATGTTGGATCGTGAGTCCATGTATCCAGGATTATGTTGTTTGTTTGTACAGAGAGAAGATAGATGTGATTGTCATCTTGCAATGGAAATTGCTGCGTCACGGGTATGCGATATATTTGAATATTGCATAGGAGGCCACAAATATATTTTTATTATTCTATAATTAAAATAAAATTTACGATTTGAAATGTTTGAGGGACTGGTGACCATCATGGACTCGTCGAAGAAATAATGTGATCAGGTCGTTCATTAAATGAATGATTTAAAGGAGGATAATTTATTAATCATTATAACGATGATTGAAAAAATTTAAATAATAATAACCGTTTAGATACTAAACTTTATAAAATTAAAAATAATAAAATTATTCTATTTAATGAAATAATTAGACCAATTAAAAATAATAAATTTCAACAATGATAAGAAGTGGGATTCCTATTAA